TGAACACCTGTAGCCAGAAGCATCCAATCGGTTATCAAAGTCCAAGTTCGAACGCTGTCTTTCCGCACCTTCTGTGTCAATCTGCCGAACGCAGGTGTAGCTCCCCCAAGTTGCCTCGTGAAAAGTTTCGGGGATTTTGGGGAGCAACAGCTCTGACTGCAACCCCCACGAGCCTATCCGGCAGAGTGGGCTAGCATTGGGCCAATCCTTCCTCGGACAGGATGGGCAATTTGATTTGCTGACGATACAGTTGAACATATTCACCAAAACACACATATAATTATATACTGTACATGTTCATTTTAGATTAACTGACTAAATATAATGATATGTATGTGTGTATATGTGTGTATTATAAACGCTATTAATATATATGTATATATAGCTTCCATGGCTCCTGTGCGGCCCCTCACTCCATTGGCCTGAATCCTATCAATTACAAACTCAGCTCCGAGCCTTGGCTAAGAGGCTCACCAGCGTTCACCCGAAGAACGCTCGCGGTCACGAGTTCGTCGCTCGCCCAAGATCCAGGCCGTTGCCGGGGATTCCAAGTGTGCCGGCTCAGAAGGCCACCCAGGAAGATGTTGGAATGTTGCAGCCTCGCTCGAGGCCACGTGACGCCGCGCCGGTTTCGTGCTGGCTTCGGAAAACGGCTGCGGCTACAGGATGGATTGGAGCGAGAGCGTCGCCATTGCGTGTGGATACCTCAAGCCCGATACATTTTTTGTGTGGATATCATCCCCACCCCTAAGGGGGGGGGGACCTGTCTAAATGTAAGCTACATTTTTTGCAACTTTGGGCTTAAAAAATGTAAGTTACATTTTCTTAGGGACACCTTAAAAAATGTAAATTACATTTTTTGAATAAATGTAAGCTACATTTTTTGAGGTTCCCTTTTTCTTGACGCCTTTCTGTGTTTTACCTTTTTCCTCTAGACCGTCTTCCTTTTCTTCCTGCTATTTTTAAGACTTCCAAGCCAGTGACAGAAGCATGCATGTAAAGTATGGTTTTTATGGTTTCGTTATTGTTTTGGTATGATTTGCTATTTTTTCTCAAGCCTTTGGGCAACTCCAAAGCTTGACCTTTTTGGTAGCCTTTCCAGGTGGCTTTGGGGACCTGCCTCCATCCTTCGGAAAAGGAAAGCCATACCAAAATCATATCAAAACTAAATCAAAATCATAACAAAACCATAAGCGTTACACGTTTCTTATGGTTTTCTTAGGACCCAGCCACCCTGGCCATCTCTTACCTCCACAACCCAACCTAGTTTCAAGCCTTTGAGCCATTCCAAGGCCTTTTGACCTCTTGGTAGCCTTTCCAGGTGGCTTTCAACTTTCCATATTGAGTGTTTTTTTCCCATATGCATCTTTAGTTCTGTAGATATTTGTAGATTCCATATGTTGCTTTTCAACGTCTAGGTGGATACCACCGGTTTAGGGGCGTCCCAAAATGTAGCTTACATTTTTGGAGGTTCCGTTTTCTTAACGCCTTTCTGTGCTTTCCCTTTTTTCCTGCAGACCTTTCTTCCTTCTCTTCCCGTTCTTTTTTGTACTTCTTTCCTTCTTCTTAGATACCAGTGGGCCCTAGGGCCATTACCCGCTTCCTGACGAAGCCGCTCATGAGAATCTGTTGCTGCATTCTACTGCTGGTTTCCTTTTTTTGAGTTGCCATTTGACCGTAGAGTCTTTGCATGGACACTTTCTTGGCTGCTTTTCCCGGATG